TCTTTACACATAGAAATTGCCTTCTAAAAACAGAAGAGGCATAATATTTTTTCCCAAAATTATTCAACAATATTTCGAGATGTTTATATACTGCATATGAAACAGAGATATGGACTAATATGCTGAATGTTTGCAATATAAATTAAAAAAAAAAAACAAAAAAGAAAGAGAGAGGTGAAGTGCTAAGTGCCAGAAAATTAATACTGAACTTTTTTCCTGTTAAATTCTGAGAAGCGAATGTCCCTGGAAAACCATTTCATACAATTGCTTGTGGGTGCAAACTGTTCAAGATTCCATAAATAATTCATTCAGCTCCAGTCAAGTAATAGCATGTCACCAAAAGGGAAAAAGAGAAGGCTGGAGCACTGTTCACCAAAAAGTGCCAGCTGAGAGTGCTCTGGGAGCAAGGTGCTCAGCATCTTCAAYGACCAGGACTGAAGGAAGGCCACAAATCACTGTGAAATGATCCCAAAAGCCCAAGCCAAAAGCAGGATATCTATATTAATTTGAAAGCATCAGGCAGAACACTTAGCATGAACTAGGGTGAAAGAGAGAGAGAGAGAAACCTTTGCTTTCCAATGAGGACATTGAGGTTATTATATAAACAGGGCAGAGATAAATTACAGCAGTTTAACACACTTACTGTTAGAGTGGAAATTTTTGCTTCAATTGCCACGACTCACATAACCCCGCTGCATTGACACAGCAGTTTTGTATTAAATTTTAAAGGAATTAATCAGCTCTCTTTTTTAAAACTTATTTACTATCCTAGGCATGCAAAGACTTGTGCTTTAGGCTGGTGTGCTGCAGGGATATGCATATAACCTTACTGCAGTCAGCTCACCCGTTCACAGGCAAGGCAGGCTCACAGGAACTAGAGCAGTTTCAGAGATCCACCTCAACAAAAATGTTTTTCATTTCAGTGAGGCTGCCAAAAACACAGATAATGCTGAGTTAAAGGTTTTGTACAGCCGATAATGCCTCATTTTTTCAAGTCAATAAATACATGCAGCTGGGTTGCAGCCTCCATTTTACTGGTTTTTAAAAGTAAAGGTTGTGCGTAAATACTGAAAAGAAGCAAGGCTGAAGTCTATGAAGTAATTGACATCACCTGTATTTATTTGACATCACTTGTATTTATAAAGACAAATCCTATTAAAATATGTATCCCAAATAAACCATGTGTTCTGTGAAGAATTAAGAAGCCAAATCCTCCACAGAGATCAGGAACTGCACATCTGCCACAGGAAACTGGAGAAGAGCTCAACTACAAGAACTTTTCCTCCTCTTCAGATAGGTCGCATATAAAAAGTATGAAATCTAACCCTATTCACACAACAAATGTTTCCGGGTAGGTCTTCAGAGGAGTTCCTGGGTCACCTAGGACATCCTGCACAGTTGAGGACAGACTGCTGGCCTGATTTACCAAAGTGTTTTATCCAGAGAACTCCTGAGCAGCCTGCAGAACGCTGCCTCACCAAGCACTCCCACTGTCACACTGTTAGAAAGCATTCCCTGTTTAGCTTCAGGTCATTAATTCCTGTTAGACAACCCATGATCACCCTAAATAATCCCTCCTCCGCTGGTGTTTCCTCTCCAGCCCTGTCAGCTGTATTCCCTCAGGCAGGCTGTAGATAGTGCRCTCCTGAGGCCTCTCTGCAGAGGTCATGCTCTCCCATCCTTTTATCATTTTTGTCACCCCTCTGAACTCTTTTTTTCCATTTATTCATTTCACTGTACAGCCCTTAATGATAAAAGCAATCCWTACAAATAATACCTCTATTGCAACTGAAAAAACACACCCATTGCTAAGTGAAAGAGGCAGGTGAAGCCTTACTGTCTCAAGGAGGGAGCATTTTGAGTCTCAGATTGCTGTATCTGGGCCAAAGAAACTACCAGAAAAGCTAAAAGGGATAAATCTTCCCATTTCTGAATTATCAGRTTTTCTTCTTTTCTTCCTATGTTGCCTTGCAAGAAGATCACATGGTTTTCAAAATATAAAATTGTTTTTGTGGTACAGGTACACACAACCAGGTTACAATTGAGACAAATACACCTGGAATTTTTGCAGATGGAGAAAGGAATATTTTTTCTCAACTGTTTARGGAAAGATACTCTTTAGATTTGGATACTTTTTAGATTTAGATACTCTTCAGTCCCAAAGTGCCCTTTTAATGCAAAATCTAAGACAGTTAACATTTTATAGATGCATTTACCTTCCCATTTCTGAATAAAGACTGATTTCATGTTTATAGCAATACCATTGAAWATATCTTTTTCCTTCTCCTCCTCTSCATTCTTACACTCAAAGCAGTTSCATAGCAAAMTAATTAATCTTAAAAACTTAYGAAATGTCAATAATTTCTGCYGCAGTAACTTTGACAAATGACACTGAGATGTTAAGACAGTTAAATAAAAATTATGCCAAAACAAAAATCAATGAATTTTAATTCTTCTAGGATTCAAAAGTTTTTCACATATGAGATTGAAGTCTCCTAACTTTGTACATCCATAGTCAGATGAGATCTCTCTGGCCCACCCAAGAGATGATAAAGTGAGACTGAACCCAGATCTGTAATTTTAGCAGGAAAAAATGTATCATTTGTAGTATCAAACCAGGCAAAATAAATCTTGTACCAGCTTCCAATGGCTGATGTCAATGACTTCTGCTAAGAAAAATCAGTTAAAGATGTTTATTTCATGTTTCATAATCCAAACACTGTTCTTATTTTTGTTCTGTGTTCCACCAGAGGGTTGGTGTTCAGCACCTGGTTTTTCTGAAGATATGCCATTAGCTGATAGATTTTAATAAAAACCTGCTTAAAGTTTTTCCAGACATTTTAGCCCTACYACAAAATATCAACACAGCAAAACTGAAAATCTTACTAAGAAACCTCTTTTCCACATGAAAAAAATAAAATTTTCCATTTCCAGAAACAGAGCTTCAAAACCTCTTTGTTATATAGTTTTTATTTCTAACTTGAGTTACAAAAAAAAAAACCAAAACAAGAAATGAACAAAAAAACAAAATGTGCAAAATCTGAAGTAAAATCTTCGTGTTTTCTTCTAGTGTGCCTGATTAGATTTTTTGAAATTTTTTTCTCCCAGAATTGAAAATAACCTCAGACAACTTCTAAGGTGCAGAGTGAGGTTGATAACACCAGTCAATAAGTACAGAGCTATAGGGTACCTATAGCATGAAATCCCAACTGTGGAATTGAATAAACCCATCAAAGGCACTTACAGCCACATGTTGTGAATTAGGCATTTCAGAAAAATACACAAAAATGCCTAKTTCATTCCAGCTGAAGGCTGTTATCCTAGACTCCCTAAAAATGTGCTGTAGATAATTAGTTGCACTTATTGATTGWGGTATTGAAGAACTGCAGTCATTGTAACTCTCCACAAAATCTACATTCAGCCTCTGCCTGAGAAAGATTCTCCCCTACACTGTGCACATCRTATCTCAAGCCTTTTGAGAGTTCCTTTCTGAGATTTAAATTTTCTTTTATAAAGCTTTTCTGAATCAATCAAGATTCAATATAGGAAGATTGCCAAATAAATTACTTTTCATTTCTGCCCACTGTTAAACTCGTGCAGGGAGCTGGAAATATATCAGGGTCATTAGTCTTAATGCCTATAATACACAGTGGTTTAAGGTGAARGGAGCAGTGAAAAGGGTTTAATACAGTTTAATATTGGCCTCTACCCTTRAGACACCTCAGGGCACTCACCTGATTCACCAAACCATCCTGGAGCCCTGYGCACCCAGAGGGACACATTTCCACCCAGCTGGAGTCTGAATAAAACACTTCMTTTCAACACCTGCTGTAGATATTTTGTTGGGACTCCCTGGAAAGCCAAGCAATGTCATTTCTGYYGGAGCTCTCCTAGGAAAGGAGCTARCTSAGCTGTGTGGAGCTCAGCACCCTTTGAGGGCATGTATTCCCTCACTCTTCTACTGGAAACACCCAATGTGTGCACAAACCTGAGGAGAAATCAGCCTTGTGCTTGGTCTTTTCCAAGCTACCTATCCACCTTATTTCTTTAGTATAAAATTCACTCTGTTATTTTAAAAAAAAAATCACTGATGAACACAAATGTGGATAATTTACTAATGCTGTTAAGAGTAAAAAAACCCTAATGAGCTAATTTGAGTGGATTTTTTTCAATTTAGCAGGCTTTGATGCAGCAAAACTGATAATTGGAAACAGGTCCCACCCACATTTTAATTTCTTGGTTCAGTCGTATCCCTGGTTTGTTAAAAAAATAAACTCCCTACTTTATTGGCWAATTCTAAGCTAATGAATACACAAACTTAAACTGAGCCTCCAACTCTCATTCTCCACTCTGACATATAAAGCACTGTAAAATAATTCATTATTTAATATTAAGAAAGCTGGATAAAACTAATTAATGCCAAAAATTAGCCCACAGCAAAACATTAATTAAAAGTTTGCCAACAGCTACCTCCCTGTCCTAATTAGCATCGCTGATTTTAAAACAAGCGCTAAGAAACGAAGACAAAAATATAATCCCAACTTCATATTTCATAAAATCTCTTCGCTTCAACTTTCAAACATCAACAATGTGCCCCTTTAACGTGAATTTTGATATTTCCACAGCAAAGACAGCTCTCTCGGGCATGTGATGCACCATTCCTAATAGGCTATTGCAGATTTTCTGGTCACTTGTTAACCATGGTTGAAATCCAGGACAAAGGTATCGACACAGAAGACAGCCAGAAAAATAAAATTACCCCCAGAGAGCTTAACATTCCATGCCATTCCATTCCATTCCATTCAGGCTGCCCCACGTGCATTAACCACAAAGCAAGCATTCCATGGAGCATGTGATATTTCAATTCTCTGGCACTAKAGTCTGACTATCTTATTTGACATTAAACAACCAGCACTGTCAAAAGGGCAACACGTGGCTAGGTATCATGTAGGTAATAAAACATGTTTCTGAAATTTAATGATAAAAAAAAGTGCACTGACCTCATTAATGAAAGTCTGGGCTCCCCGTGGGCTGAGGAGTAAGATTGCCCTTCGCAATGTGTCTCGATAGCGGTTCAGCTCTTCTGTTTTCATGGTGGTAAAAAGGTTGGAAAATACTCTGCTGATGTTCCTGTCCACTTTCTGTAATGATACATCAAGTCCCAGTCTGGAGGCCTGATCAAGAAATCCCTGCAGTCCACGAATATCTGTAACACAGGAGGAGGGGAAAATAAAAAAAATAAAAAAAAAAAGGAAAAAGAAAGAGAAAAGAAAAAAGCCACTGCATCAACCTCTGCCAGTTTGGCACTAATTAGGTGGAAAATATTTTTTTTACTTTCTTTCCTGCAATGCTCACTGAAGAAGAGTATTCCACACAGCCATCTTCCACAGCTCCCCTTCCTAGCCAGTGCCAACAGGCAAACTCCATCAATTACCTTTCCCTGAGGTCTCAGAATGACTCTGAGCAAGAGCTCATTTATTTGGGTGGCTCCACAAACCTTCCCAGAAGCTCAAAGCCACAGCTTTTAACACTGCACAAACGAGGAAGTCCCACCCCAACAGCACCACAGAATGCAGAAATCCAGRAGCAGATAGATAAGCAGGGGATAAATCACTCAACCCTAAACTTCTCACTTTCTACCACAATCTCACATAGCTGCTTTTTCCAAGAAAAATAATATCCAGAACATATACAGTCCCTCTTTTTGACTTCCCCTTTTTCCCCTGTTATGTAAATAAATCTACCTAACTAGAAATGTGCTATTTTTCCATMAACTCAGAAAACAACATACAAAGCCCCAGTGCATTAGAATATTTTATGGTGTTAAAAAAATAAAGAGGTTCAAGAAGAGAAATCATGCAAACAACCGCCTTCAAGACATGTTCCTTTGAGCTCTGTGTCTCAACTTCAGGATGACTGAAAAAATATATCCTTAACCACATTTTTGGGCATTAACAGGGAGGAACACATTTCATACATCCATGTTGAGATCTGCTTGTTCAAACTGTACTCTGTCTTTGTGACTCTCAGCATTTGTCTGTAATAAATGCCTAAGTTTATTTGGTAATTTAGAACAAGAAAAACCTCAATGGTTATATCGAACCAGGTTGCTCTCAAAATTAGCAGTGACTCGATCACAGCTGTACCATGTCATTAGAAGCCCTTAACTTTATGGGAAACTTGTCTCACTTGTCCTGAGTAAGAAAGTATTGAAAGTGTGAGAAATGAATGTGAGAGGCTTCATCATTAAACTTCAGCTCTGAATGAATGGTGGAAGTTAGAGTACATTTACTGATCCCAGAAGGAAATCTTCTCTTCAGAAAACCTCACTGCAACTCTAACAATCTCTATAATCTACATTATAACAGCTGGTGGGCAGTTCGGGTGTTTTTTAAATCCTTGGAGTACCATTTTCTGACCCTGAGACAGTCAGAGGACAGAGCCCCAGCCCAGCTGAGAGCAGGAGCACTCCCTGCTGCCCAACGGGAGTGAGCTCTCAGATCACCCCTAAACACTGTGCATCATGGCCACAAAATACACATGGGAAGCTATTTTTACCCTCTTAAAAAATGACACATGAAGCCTGATTAAGTAACATCTTGTGAGGATTCACCAGCTCAGCTCACATACAAGTGCAATGTATTAGGGTCGACCAGCACATGTCAGATCCAAAAGGAAAACAAGCTGCTTAGCACCTCTACCAAACATGAGAACACTTGTTGACGTGATGCATTCATCACAAATCGCTGAAACTAAGCTAGGGCTGTGCCAGCCATAATGGACTCCCCTTTTAGTGACCTTTTAATTTTGGTTTAGTTGACAGGATCAGCCCCATCAGGAAAGTGCACTCACGAGGGCTGTGCTGGTCTTCTCCTGCTCATCTTAAGCTTTGGTCACACTGTCATAAACCTTAGACTGGCTTACCATGCAAAATCCTGAGTCAGGGAGGAAAGGAAGGGGTTTTTATTGTTATGAAGGTGCACATAAAGCGACAGAGGACTTCAGCATGTGTAGAACCACAAAATATTGCGGGTGTGCCGAAATAATGACAGTGACAAACAACCAGCATTTACAGGTTAAAGCATTTCACTAAAGTTGTCAAAGTACGTTTAGATTTCATTAATTTAAATTCATTAGACAGCACTCATTACCATACCTATGCAAACTTTATGGATGTGCGAGACACAAAATATAGAGATTTTTCTTTTAATGATGTTTAGTCCTTCAAAATTACTGCAGTGCTTGGYAAGCAGGAAGAAACCTCCCTTTCCTATTGTTYAGTCATCYTTTTGTGCAAGCATCCAAAGGAGARCTGTTTACAAAAGATTAACTGTGCTGATATTGCTCTGGGGTTTTTTTGCCTCATGTTTTCAGCTGACCTGTTGAACTCCTGGTTAGAAACACTCTTGCATTTCTACACAGACCAGTGCAAAATACTTGATGCGCATGGTAAGACTATCYAGACTTGGAAGGGCATTTTATATTCCCTTACAAACCTTTCCCCCAAGGAAAACCGACTTTTTTTCCATTTGAAAAACGGAAAGGATTCTGAATTTATCCAGCTTGGTGAGAAAGCAGAATCTGATACGGATGAGATTGTCCAAACTCAGCTGTGCAAGCACAATCTGCGAGTTTTTCACAGATATAAGTGAATGCGAATTTATTCAGTGTTGGCAATTAGAAAAGAGCTGTGTGATGAAATCCTCCTGAATGCTGACRTGCCTGCTCCTATTTGACACTGGGAAAAAGGAGGAGGCTTGCTGGGAATTCAAACGTGGAAGTGGGATCTGAAGACAAGTGTTTGAAGAGGTGACTAACAACTTTAGGTGCCTACATAATGGAATCTTTTTTCACAAATAGTTACCCACAACCATTACCAAGAGGGCAATCATTTCTTAAAATGTATCAGCATACAAATACATGAACACATGCCCATATGYAGGAGCATCTGTTTATAATAAATTAGGCTCAGTCTTATTTTATCTGACATAATACAAGGAAGTGACTGCCCTCATTTTTTTTCTCCATTTAGAAGACCATAAGTCCATGCAATATTAAAGAAAAAACTGAGCTTTGTTCCACAGCAGCTGAAACAGAAATATTCACATATACAGTTATTAATTTCCACTTCTCATAATTTAGGTCTGTTAATCCATCATTTTCTTTAATACTAAAACAAGTTTTACAAAGTTCACATAGAATTTTATAAAARTAAAACATTCTATAAATGGTTTTGTCTGTTAAAATACAATTATTTCCTGTCTCTTGTAGTTTTCACAGTGAGTTTTTATTAAAAAGTTYGGATTCTAAAATTAGAGAGTTATCCTGGACCATTACTAATGAAATTATTCCTTGWATCCATTCATTTCAGACTTTCTAGGAAAAGTACACAATCCATATTGTCACTTGTGTCTAGAACAAAGGACAGACCAGTTTGTTGTAGGTACATAACCTGCGGCTACTTCTGCCTTCAGTCTCACAATTATTTGCTTTTGCTTGGGTTGTAGCCTAYACTCAACCTTTTAACTCATATGATCATGTTTTAGTTTTCTCACTGCCTACCTGTTTGGTGCATTCTCAGCATGAGGACTTTCAGAGCCAAAAATTGAGCATTTCTCTTCAGAAAATATCCATTTCTTGAGGATGATGAAATACACACATCAGAAGGAAAACTACACTATAGAAAATGCACCTTTCATGGAAGGGATCCATAGAACCATATATTAATTGGATATGTTTACAATTCTCTAGTGTCAATGACAATCATGGAATCAGCAGAGCAGATTGGAAGTGGAGATAGAAAAAAAGGAACAAGAAAAAAAAAAGAGGCTAATTTCTTATAAATTCTTATGAATTTCTTTGTGCATCCTCTGTTACATCTGACCAGAGAGTGAATCTCTGTGTTCAAGAGCCTCTTTCCTAATGCTGAYAGACAAACCACATGTCCAGGTCTAACAACACAAAAACAGGACAATTTTAGGGATAACTGTTACAAGGAGGGAAGGAAAGCCTTGATGCACTGCTAAGATATGAGTTCTGTCACTGCCATTACAAAACTAATGCTCGCTGTAAATAAAGAGCTTTATTGTACTACAAGGAATAATGGAATATATAATTTCCTGCTGGAGGTTAGGTTGGGTACTGTGCTGGCTGATTGGAACACAAACATAAAAGAATAGTGCTAAATGTGGCATTAGCTACCTGTAAGGCTTATTGTCAGCTACAAAGTACTTCATTTTTATTACATTATTTACAACCTCTTTTTTACACAAAAAAGTTCTCAGAGTTTACTGTAGCATTCATCTTTCATGAATTTACAGGATCTGATTCTTGGCCTTGACAAAAGAGCTTTAAGCTATTATTTTTGTGTGAAACAGCTGTGTGGCTGGGCACAGCTGGCCTTTTAGGATGGTTCATTGCAGAAAGGAGGTAAAGAGCACTATATCGTCTTTTCAACACCAGTTCCTAACCCCACTTGACAGAAATAGAAGCAGCRCATGGCCAGGAAACATTTTACTTTGGGTGGAAAACAGCTGGAAGCAAACTGAAGTACCAAGTTGGAGCTGAAAGCAAGGCTAAAGAAGCACCAGGATATAATTTCACACCCTGTCACTCTTATCCAAGCAAATTCCACGAGGAGTAAGTGTCGTCACCGAGTTCTACTTTCAGATAACCTACGCAAATACTTTCACTGGTACATTTGGAAAAGGGAAAAATAAACAAGTGTGAAAAACAATGAGATCAGGCAGGAGATGGTGAGGTTTGGAGTTTTCTCATTTGTGGACTGCAGGCTCTACACTTCACACTTCCTTTTCCYCCCAGTGTCAGTTTTATTTGAGCATTATTTTGAAGATATTTGAAGTAGCGAGAAGAGTGTCAAGAAGGCTGGGATAATTTCATTATTTTAGCATCTATAAAAATATATTTACCTTTTCCAGGAATTTAGGAAGGGTATTCAAGGCATTGTTCTTTATACTTAAGCTTCAAGAGAAGAACAAAAAAATACAGTTTCTTCTCTCTCATTCAAAGATACATTTTACTGCTATTTCAATTCTCTTCAAATTGGACAGAATACTACCCAGTTACTWTTTCATTTCTTGGGACAGAATAAAATACACATTCCAGGATTCACTGATTTGAAAGATAATACATAAGCACTCTGAAACAGGTTTCCTAAACTGCTTCAGCTCCGTGGGTTTCATTCTT